CTCTCTCTCTCTCTCTCTCTCTCTCTCTCTCTCTCTCTCTTTCTTTGTTTTTCAATCCATGCATCTCCATGTAACTCAGAACTCATCATTTCCAAAAGATGATTGCCTCAGTGGTTATTCAGTTAACAGCAAAAAATACGTGAAAAAAGTAAAAAATGATCGTTTTTCACAAATTTCTCTATTCTCCTAAAGAAATTATGCTTATGGGTATATTAATGAGATATAAACACGTCTCTTCAGAATTTTCATAATCCAATCCGAAAATAATCAGCTTACTGAGTAATGCTCATGACTTTTCGAGAAATGTGGAATTTCTCATCATGAACGTAATTGAACAATGAATACGTGATACAACCATTAACGCAAACGGTGAATTGTTTGATGAATTGTGTCATCATCGTCTCAAGAATACGTAAAAATTTGACAATACTTTTTTGTTATTGTATGATTATTTAATAATCCTAAATTCTCATGAATATTCCTAATGATTCAGTAGGGAAGAGTGTGAAATTTTTCCAACGTTATTGTCTCCGAAAAATGCAAGCGGCACACCACCCTGCACCGTCGCCCATGCCGTGCGTTAATCAACTGGACTACTTTCGCAACCTTAAATGTCTTTGTGAATAATCGCAGGGAATTGAAAATCTCTATATTTGTATCCTATTTCAAAACTTATAATAATCATTTGCAAATTGGGAAATTCCAAAATTATAATAACTAGTGATCGCGTTTTTTTCCGTGAGATTGACGACGTATCTATGCAATTGGAGTTTTGCATGAAAATTTTTTATTGTTGAATATGAAAATTGAATGAAAAATATTAGATACGTATTTTTTTATTTTGAAAAATAATGAAAAATGAACAAGTCGTAGGCGATTGAAAACAACGAACTTATGACGTCATAAGTTCAACGTTTCTTCAATTGGCTATAACTTCTTGATTTTTCATCTTCTTTCAAACTAAAAAAATACGTATCTAATATTTTTCATTCCATTTTCGTATTTCATCATTTTTTTAATAACAAAATTCCCTGCAACCTCCCAATTATCCATTCAGATTCTTGTTTTTATTTCTTTTGGTGTTGTTTTCTCAACTTAATTCCTTCAATTTCAGAATTGTTAACATTTTCCATTTCAACAATTTCGAGTAGAAAAAAGTCAGACGTATTATTTTTGAAATAACTAAACAACTGCTGAGACGATTTCTTTTTCAATTCAGGCAGATGTACTCTACACAAAGACGCATCGATTGCATGAAAAATAATTTAAATCGCATCATTTCTTCAGGAGAAATAGCCAAATTAGCAAAATAAACATCATTTTTGACGTTTTTTCACATGTTTTTTGCAGATAACTGAAGAACCGCTGAGTCGATCGTGTGCAAAAACTATTCATTTCTAAGTTACATGGAGATGCGTCGATTGAAAAAAAAAATTTCACATTGCACTGTTCCTTGAAAAGAAATCGTAGCTCAAAATTTTTTGCATCACATACATTCGCACATACACACACACACGCACACATACAGACGGACATGTGTTTGAAAACATTATAGAAAGATTCGAGGAGTCATGAAACGTGGAAATATCATTGAATTTCAACTTTTGATTTTCGGGGTCATTACAATAACTTCCTCCCTTCGGGTCGGGAAGTTAGTAAATTGGATAATGTGAATTTTGCATAAGTGAAAGGTTCAATTAAAATCGTAAAAAAATTAATTTCGATTATCGAGTGAAAATAAATATTAATAATTCTTTAAATTTTGGAATGTGTGATTGGTGATAAAAATTAAACGGTTATTGAAAATTACTAGAGTATAATCTACGAGGCCATGGAATTGAGATTACCTTGTGGCGAATTGCAAGAAAATGGTCGAGTTGATAGGATTTTATTATTATTAATTTTTTTTATTCGGAAACTCAAATTATATTTTGAAATTTCTATAATTCTGCGGTAATTGTGAGAAGAAAGACATTATTTTGATCCGAATTTAGTATTTCGGGACAATTAATTAATTTGATATTTATTTGATGAATTGTCGAAAATTGTTTATTTTTAGCTTGGAAATTAACTTGAAAACAAATTTCATATTTTGCATTAATTTTAACGAACTAATTTTAAATGGGGAACTCAATTGAAAAAAGTAAATAAATAAATTTTTGATGATTATAAAAAAAAGAGAAGAATTTGCTATCCGGAAGTGCGCGTAAAATTAAAACAATCCTTTGGATTTTAAATTCATTCTGTTGTAAACAAAATCCTGATTTTACATAATTTCTATTCAGTTAATTCGAATACATTTTTATTTGTTAATTTTTAATTTTTCCTCTATTATTCCAACAATTCACCCGACTCCAATCCCTAGCTATTATCCTCGCGGATAAGCTAAAAATGAAAGAAATACATTGTCATAGGGGAGGGTGGGGCAAAATGGAATTGTGGGGCAAAATGGAACGACGGGGCAAAATGAAACGATGGGGCAAAATGGAACGATACAAAAAACGAATATAGAGCGAAATTCAGACAACTTTTTTTTTCACCTAATGTGAGCTCAAAAATGACGATTCGGGGTTTTCATTCAAAAATTCATTTGAATTCAAAATTTTTAAAGAGCAGAAAGATGAGAATTCATCAACTCATCTGAATTTTCGATCAAAACATTGGTAAACTTTAGTAAACTAAATCATATAATGTATTCTTCAATTTTCAATCAATTGAAAATTCAAAAAATCATTTACCTTAACTTTCCAGATTTCTATTAATTTTCAAGAAAAGAGGAGAATGGGGCAAAATAGAACGGTAGTGAATTTTGGTTTTCAAAAACTATAGGACCTGTTTTTAATATTCAATTTATTCATAGAACAATAATAATATTCCAAAGGTCTTATTTATTTATCTATAATCGTCTATTACTCTATAATTGAATTTACAGACATCAGATTTTTCTTCAGTTTTTTAACCTTGAATTATCTTTTTCACAATGAAGATAGCAAAATTTCCATAATGACCTTTTTTATAGCCCTTGAAATTCTCTACAAAAAGTTCCTTATCAAAATTCTCCTATCTCCCTTAGATTACAAGATAGCAATAACTACAGAGTAGACTGATGTCACTGACTTAACCCCGAATCATCATTTTTGAGCTCACATAAGGTGAAATAAAAGTTGTCTGGATTTCGCTCCATATTCGTTTTTTGTAGCGTTCCATACCGTACCGGCAGGCAGAGATAAATTAGAATTTTCATCAGTATTTTCAATTCGTTAGGGATGTTTAAAAGGGTTAGAATGAGAAATTGTGTGAACAGTTGAGATTGAAGCAACTGAATCATCATTATGCTTTGGTCTGCGTATTTTGAATACGAATTTGTCCATCGCATTTTCTTTGGAATGCAAAATACAGGGTTCTAGAGCGTATTCTGGCTCGGAATAAAGGGTCTCGATACCGATAATCTCTCGAGGCATCAAAGATAGTGCAATTCTGGGTCGAAAGTACCTTTGTGACTCACATAATTCATGAAATTGAAAAATGAAGACGCAGGTGACCGAATTTGCATTGCAATCTCACTTGGAAAACAGTTCCAACGAAATGGATATCACAACCCTTCGAGTCAATTAGACCTCCAATTAGATAAGTTGGAACCGATTCTCTGTGTAGAAATCTCTCCGCTCTACACTGCTATACAGTCAAGCCGGGGCTGAACGTTTTATTTCCCTTCCTCATGCTCCTTTAATGTTATTGAAATTGAGTCTTCATGAGAATAATTTCGTTTGTAACAATGGACTCAATCTAGATACTGATCAAGTTTTTAGAAAAGTGGTTCTTTAGTGCCTATGCGAATATAAACCCACCCGAGCTTTGCCATCATGATCAAATACATTCATTAATAACTTGTTGACTAAACCCTGCAGCCAAAAGTGAAAAAGAAACTGGTGACAAAGAATTTTTTCACTCTTTCATCCTCCGAAAGATTCGCGCTCTATTGTGAATCGTAAAATCGTTGTATACCACACAAAACCACTGCGTCCATAGGTGGACGTCTTACTAATTTATGCTGATTACACCGATTCAGTGAAAATGGATTCATCATCACTTACTACGGTGATAATTTGAATTATAAGACAACAATAAATACATAACAGCAATGTATATCTAATTATTGGACAGAAGAATTCAGTTAATATATGTACCAATGAGATATGGTGGACTCATACCAGAACATATTTGTGAATTGTAAAGAAAAATAGAAATTCTTACCTTACAGTGGGTGCAGTTATGGATGACAGAATATGACTGGCGGCAATCGTATCGCGCCAATACCTCCTCAAACTCACAGTGTAATCGAGCAGCAAGTGCATCGACACTTAGTATCTTTTCGAGAGCTTTACTGCATCTTGGACTACCATTCAAAACGTCCTCCAAAGGGCCGCCGTTACCGGGTGCCAAGGCATTTATTACCGCATACTCACAGCAATGGCGTAGACGGAGGCCACTTAAGAACCAATATCGATTCTCTCGTGAGGTTGCAAAACTTAACGAACTGGACCGTGCAAAATCTTCTTGGCAGATGTCTCGTTTGTGTGACTCCTCAAGGTAAAAAAGGCACTGATCCGGAGCCGTACTGCCTTTAACTGTTCTGTCAATTGTTTTCCATTGCATTTTAGCAGCTGAACCAGTACGCCACTTTCTTGGTACAACAAGACGCTCAACAACCTCATGGAATATTCTATCGGAATTAATACTCAATGCGCACGAAATTGGACAATATTTAGGTACTTCAGGTGGTCCACAGCTGCCCTGAAGATCGGCCGGTGCTGGACCTGCTAGATCGCAAGCCGAAAGCCAAGGATTTATTTGGTTCACCTCCCAGGTATATTCGTTATAAGGATGAACTTGTTCTCCGTCCTGAGAACGGTCATTATGCGATTGTCCATCAATACGATTACCACCACTACGGAGACGCGCAACTGGTGATAAGTTATGTACGGTACTATTATCAATAAATACCAGCGATGATTTTTGGACGAATGACACTGATGTAATAATACCCGTTGATGGATACGTCGAGCACAATAATGGTAGAGCCAAAAAATACAGAAGGAAGAGTGATCCATAACTCGTTCTAATAAGTTTGCGGCGTGAAAATTCGGCAGCATCATGTTTTTCATATTTGTGAAAATGTGATGTTGATCTTTCCCTAATTGTCTGTCCGGTCCAGGCTCTGTTATCGTCTTTCGCCAATAACACATTATTATGTTTGTGTTCAATGATGGTATTATCCTGGAGCCAGTTCGTTTGATAGGCTGAACATCTCGCCTGTCTAGTGTTTTCTGATTCTTTCCATTTCCTAAATGTTGGGAGCTTCGCAAACACCCAATGATGCTCAAGATTAATTGTTTCAGTGGTCGTATTATCCAGTGAATTGATATAGAGTCTTGTCCTGTTTTTGATAAGAAACGATCGGCTCGGTAAAATGTGTTTGGTTTCATAATGGTTGGAATATTTGAAGGCAGTGTTTCTAAACACATAGATAGGAATAAAATCCTCAGCACTTTTCCTTGCCAATGAAGCTCCACAGTATAACTTTGCATCGCGTGACTCATCATGTTCCACACATTCATAATCTCGGCGGACAAGTATGTCAAGTTTGAAACTCGTCCAGTCAGGGAACCAGAATGAAATATGTATGGTATATTCATTGCATAAAAATTGTTTATAGTACTTACAATAAGTAGCTTTAAAGGCAATTCTGCGGACTTGCACATGGAGGTTTTTATGACAGTCGTATTCTTCGTAAGGGTCAAATAAGCTGGTCGATTTGGCATGCAAAATTTCAAGGACGGTGTCATGATTGCGTCCTCTATATTTACCATCTCTACGTACCTCGTCAATGAAATGGTGTATTGACGAAGAGCAAATGAAGTGGGCGGTGGTTGTCGCCTGGTAATAAATTTGCAACTGCGCCGACACAGTCCACACGGTCTTCGTCTCCGTCCTGGATGGTGATCCCGTGATACGGGGCAGGTGCTCGAGTTGCATGAGCACGTGACAGGGGACACTGGCGTCCCCACGACGACGTTGTCGGCGCTCTTCCTGGGAGGTGAGCGTCGATCGCCCTCTCCTACTGTATTTTGTTTCCAGATAAAGCCAAACCTTTTGTTTCCGAAAACAATAATATCTCTTTCTCCAAGTGCTTCGTTCGCCGTATTTACCCCGACTTCTCCTTTTCCTATCTTTCTTCCTTGTATACAACACCACGCTGGCTCGGGCCTGGCTCGCCGGCGACAGGGACGACGGCGCGGGTTGATGGTTCTGTTTGGTCCGGGCCGCATCGCTGAAATAGCCACGATGGCCTGGGCCCGTCGCCGCTGCCGCAGCTGACGCCTTGTATTGCCACAGCACCTGGTAATTTAACCAGTTGCTGCTTAATGAATTCACTGACGACCCGGTGTGGCGGTCGATTATACAAAATCGCTTGTGCCAGTAGAACCAATAATCCAACGACGATGACAACCACGAGGTAATGGACGAACCCGCAGCTGATCTTTCGTCGTTGAAATATTTTCTGCGATAAATACGTTGTCGTTGCAGCTGGACCTCTTTTCCTTGATAACGTCGTCCAATCTGAATTCGACCCAACGATATGAAAGTAATATGTGAAATTCGTAAGCGTCCAAGAAACAATGATATATTTTCGATCTTGTTTTTCTTCTGACACGCCTGTGACAACCGTGCTCCAACAGTTGTGTCTCGTGTGACGTATTTCCCACTTGACACGCTTTACTTTTTCCTGTTTCTGCGATAAAAAATCCTGATACTCTATCTTCTTCTTCGTCTTCGGCCTCACGCTGATGGTGCGACGACACACGTGGTTCATGCTGCATGCTGGCTACAACCGCCGCCCTGACGTCACCACGCCACCAGCCGTCTCCTTTCTCAATCTTATTATTATAAGATCTTAAAGCGTCTTCTCAATCCACTTATGTACAAATACTGAATATTTCACCGAATTAATCAGATTTTCGGAGCTCTAATGCAAACGTTCTCCTCACAAAATGGCCATAAACAAGAATTGGTTATGTACGATAACACTACGAGTGGCAGTGGAGACACGCATATCGGCCGCGCACTCATAGCACTTGTACAAAGATCCATGGGCACACCCCGTACCCAGCGGGTGTGCAAAGTAACCTTCGATAAGTTGAACTTTTTTCTTATTCCCTCAATTATTCCCTCTCGTGTTTCTTTCGTTGAACTACCCAATCTCTCGACCCACACCTTGACTGTGCTCTCTTTATTTTTCTCATGTCCACATTCCCACCCCTTTTCTCTTTACCATCCACTAGCTAACTCACTTCTTGCCTCTCGTTCTGTTCACAATCAAGCACCACCTCGTCTCTCACTCGCATGCAACCTCAGCCTAATCCTCCCTCTAAAGTTTATAATACTCCTTCCTGTCCTCAAAGAATCCCGTCGTCTTATTCGGTTTTTCTGTGATCATGACTATTGCCAATTTTTTTCCTTTCTCTATCCTTTTTTTTCAATGTTTCATCATATGACAATGTCACTTTCAGTATCACCACTTTTAGATCTTGCAAAAAATTTCGGAAAGAAATAAAAATCTGTTTGATAAAATTATGTGCAGTTTTACAGTGGAGCGACAGCGTACATTCACATTCACATATACGTACACCCACAAGAATGTGCGCGCATGTTGTGTTGCGCAGTATTGTACGAAAAATTAAGAAGCGTGAGGGAGAAAAAGGAAAGAGAATAACGGGGTTGAAACAGAAAAGTAAAAGAGGGAAAAGAAAATTCCATTCCCTTGCAGAATGATACAGAAGAATTTATCATGAATAAAAACTGATCATAATGTGGAAAAATTGTGAGTCGCTGAGACACCAATCCGGTATAATGACTGAGAACTCAAACGTTTCACTATTTCCTCTTTGTTACCACCATAATCATTTACGATCACTACTATTGCACTGATTCTGGCACCAAGATGCTGCTCCTACGGCCGTCGCCGACATTTTAGTTGTCGCTACTACTGCTGCCACGATTACTCACACATCACATTATCACGCACATGCACCCTTACAGATGCTCCTTAATAATGTTGGAAACTGGACCTTGATTTTGATGTTGTCTCACTTTTCCACTTCAATATTATGTACGTTCATTTTTTGAAGAGTGGAATTTTTCACTGATCAATTCATCAATTTTTCAATCAATTTCAAAGCAAATAAAAAATCAGTTATCATCTATGCGTTATCCCATTCCAATTATGCATATCGTCTCATTTTCACTCAACTACAAGAGGAAAAATGCGATTAAAAAATATTTAGGAGGTTTTCTTATTCGATTTCAAAGTAGCGAAAAATCATCACACTATTACTATACCGTCACATGACCAGATGAGTGGATAGAGACAGCAAAATTGTCACAAATAAAAAAAAAATGACTAAACATATCAGTAACCTGTCGATAGTGTAAATGTAGAACGACTGCTCTTCACTTCAGCACCAGGACTGGAAACCTCGCCTACCTCCCCCAAATGGCTGTGTACAATCGCCGATAGGGGGCAAACCAAGTGCCTCTAATGTTTTCCTTCTCTTCCATCGTATCCATTCTTACAGTTCGCTTTCTCAACTCCCGTCAGTACATGTGTACTCATCAACGGTGCATCTGTACCAGTGTACTTTTCCTTCATTTCTTCCACGAGATTTCACTCCAATGATAAAATTTGTAAAAATCGTTGCATCAATTATCTATTGGAGATGCTGAATTTTATTTATCATTCTCTAAAATTCCCTGTTCGATATGTACAAATCACCCCGAGGGTGAGCCATGGCAGAGTTTATAGCCTGAAAATCGAAAGGAGGGAGAATGAATGGAGTGCGCTTGCGCCTACGTACATATTTTAATTGAGAATTTATATATATTCTGTATTTGCGTACAGTTTGCAACTTCAAGTCACAGAACTGAAGATACTGGGCCACACTGGACATGTCATAATTCTGGCTTCATGATATTTTTTGGTGGAAATTAACACTAGAATCTCGAAGTGGAGAGTTTAAGCGAATGACAGAAAATGTGTTCTCAATAAATAACGAAATGTGGAGAAGTTAGATAAAAAGAGAGGTGAATGGCACATTCGGAAGAAGTCGGTCAGGCCGAACCAGCATTCGTCGAAGCCGATCTGTGTCGTTCTTCTGACTCTTAGTAGTTATCCTATAAATGGACGAAAGTATGGTTTGGTTTTTGTGTGACATTTTTATATTCCTAATTTCTTAGATCGTAATTGGCTATAGTATCTGGAGGAACTCAGGATGTAATTATAAATCCTTCTACTTATAACGGGGCAATAATGAAACCATTTTTGTTTTTTCAAAATTGCTTTCTGGTTGAAATAAACTTGCCAGAAATTTCCTGTATCAGTCGCATGTTGATGACAGGTCCTTCTTTTCGACCATTACCCCGCCCGGGCCATCAAACGACACCACACCAGCTTTCGCTATCTTTGTCCGAGGCGCCTTCCACCCCCTCCCCCCCTCACACATCACCGCTCGTATCTTGAGGGCATCGACTACATCACATGTCGCTCTTCTCCTCCTCCCCCCCTCGCGCCGCCGTTGGCCCAGCCGTATCCCCAAAAACTCGAGAAAATCTTGCGCTCTGTCACCCCAGGCACGTCCTTTTCCACTGTATTAGTTTCCGTCTTTCTGGACGTTCATTTCTATCAACCATCTCTCTCTTAATTGTACCTTTAGACGTATCAACCTGGAGTCATTTCATCAACATCAATAATATTAAATTTCATGACTCGCAAGATCTCTCTTTTGCTTTCGAAAGAAACCATTGAAATCGTTTAAATTTTACATTTTCTAATTATGCTGGGAAATGATGTAGAATAGTCTGAGTCGTAAAAATACATTTGACGAAGATGTGTATATGTGTCCACTCAGTGAACAATTTTTACGATGTAGATAAATTAAAAAGTGAAAATAAATTTAAAAAATCCCAAATTTTGTTAGAATATAGGTGTCAATAAGGACCAACTCTGTACCGAATTTCAGCTCGATCCACCTAACCCTTTTTGAGAAATCATCATGTGCTTTTAAATTGTTGTCCACAAATATCTCGAAAACTATCAAACAGATTCGAATTTTATTTCCCCAAATGTTCGTCCCGATGTCTCAGATCTCAGATATTGATTAAAATATGTGTACCTGTTCGCACAAATTTTTCGAGATATTTCCATTTTTCTGTTTTTCCCTCAAAATTTTTGTATACCATCTCAATTTCTAAAAATATGAGATAGTAACTTCAAATATGACCCGTGATTTCCTCTTATCCTTACAGCGGTTCGTATTACAATTACAATTATATTCAGCCCGTAACAACCCCTCAAACCACCAAAATGGAACCATTCCGAAGCCTGTAATTACCTGCAAAGGGGATAAACGCACTCCTAAGTAGAAAATCACCACTCACATGCTCACTGTCTTGTGGTCACTTTCTACTCTTTTGTATGCTCTACTCTATGGTAAAATGAAAAATAAACCAACGAACAGTATGCTCGTAAAACCAATTTGAGATTTTTTTCATTAGTAATAGCAATGGTGGAAGCATAATGATATTCATCTAACTAGATTGGGCACCCTTCTCTCGGAATCAACTTGTGTTCTATACGTCGAAGTTACATTAAAATGAATCAAATTGACAATGAGATTATCGGATGTGTTCATCAGAAGAAATTTAATGGATCACGTTCAAAACGTGGCGCCATCCAAATCAGCTGGTCGGTTCTTGGAATTTGAATATGGCAACTATAGCACCTCTTCCTTCAATCCATCGGAAAACGAGAGAGTGGTAATATACGATCGACACTACCAGCACACACATTTTTAAGTATCTACTGTTCATTCTCGATAGTATATTTCGTCAGTAGAAAAATAGAATAGTTTTTTTAGGCCATGTAACGAACAATATTTTTTGTTATAACGGCTGTAAGCAGCCGCGTAGCATCCGTGAAACGCTGCGTTACGACCGGAATGACAAAAAGTACATTTTAGGGTGGAGAATCCGCTGCATTCGCGTACATATAGAATAAAATGTACGTAACTATGTGAACAAGATTAGGAGGGTGCGCATGACCAGGGGCTGCAGGGAAATTTCGCTGCAATCGATAATTTGTGACCAGCTGCAGTGAGAAGAGTGGATTTGGTTACACGGGCTGTATACTTTATTATGACGAATCATATTTACTCTCTTCTGCTGTTCACAATAAATGAATATTTTTTTCCATTTCCCACCACTGAAAAAGGTGAATTTTAAGTTTACTAATAACACCTATTTATTAGACGGAGCAATTTTTCTCTACGTCGTTCTCATTGAGATTTTTTTTTATTTGATTGACAGGTGACAATGAAAGTTGCCTCACTCAACTTCTCCCATCATTTGATTAAATCGTTACGTGTGCTTAGATATTGAGAGAATACACATGAATAACCCATTTTTTATTGAAGAATTTTCATCGAAATTCAGCATTTCAGTTTCGGGGTCATTACATTAACTTCCTCTCTTTGAATCGGGATGTTGATAATTGGAGTTGAGCTTTAGTTTTCCTCCCTCAACAAACAATGGTTTTTTCTCTGTTAATTTCTTGAGGGTTTGGTGGTAACTAATACTGAAAACATCCTCAATCTGAGAAATAAAATTGGGTTCTTTTCATAGGTGAGTTATTCAAATTAGGTTTTATCAACCATTATCAACAGATTCCTCGATTGGAGAAAACTAGGAGACGACGAATTTCACACTTCGTCCTCGTGAAGAATGCTTATGGTTACACACAGAAAAACCTAAACGTAAGTTATGTTTAAGAAGTCGTCTTTCTGAAGCCTATTCTACAGTTGAAGTTGAAGGGTAAATTACTCTCAAAATCGTCGTAAATTACGATTATATAAGTGTAATTTACGATTTCGTATTCGTAAATTACGCTCAAAGTTGGCGTAAAGTATGAATTTTGTCGAATTTTACATTTACTCATCTAATAAAAAAACCATTTACTCATCCGTAATTATATACATCCATGTAATATACGGAGAGAAATATTCAATAAAAATTACGTATCTTTTCCGTAATTTTGAAGCGGAATGTGGTTGTAGGAAATTTTACGGAACTGTCACGCAATTTTTCCAGAGCGTTCCGTAATTTTCATCCGAATCTCCTGTTAAAAATAACGATACTGTCACTTAAATTTTCTGAGTCGATTCTGTAATCGGTGAGCGAATTGTGAGCTCCGTAATTTTTACTGAACATTTCTCTCCGTGAATCAAGCGATAAAAATGCGATGGTTTTATATTTTTTTGTTGTATAATTACAGTAGATATAAATGATTGAATCAATATTCCAATCCACCGAAAGAACAGAGAGACAACCTAATTGCTTTCCATAAGAAAAAAACGTTGTTCATGGGTTTCAATTAATTAGTAATTGATTGAAAATTAGAATGGTATGCATCTGTTGCTATTGACTGATCTATTCAATAGTTCAATAGTTCATAGGATGGAAAAATTAGTTTAATTCAAGATCATTCAGTTTTATTCCAAGCATGTTCACGGTGTTTGTTAAATGTCGTGCATCACTCGTCAGAAAAGTTCCGAAGACCAAAATTATTTTTTCAAGGTATGAGACAATTTGAAAAACAGACTTCGAGAGGCAACCGACTGCTTTGAACTCATCGGGTTAAATTTGTTGATGTCCCTTGGACCAATAAACTGCGAATCCTAATTTCACTTCGTTCGGTTCGATCGCTTTTTTCGAATCTTGGGATAAAAATATTATGTATCACACCCGGCGATGACAGT